AAGAGTGAAACAAAAAGACTCACTAATCAGTATCGATAAAATCAATTGTCTTCGCGCTGGAACGTCGAAGCGCATCGCGTTCGCCAGCTGCATTTCTACGCCGTCGATTTGAGCTGTGTGGTGGTTCGTGCATAAATAATCCGGAGAAACTAAAGTATCGGATCACAATCAATTAGACTAACTAACTTATTAATACAGTTAAAAAAGAGACATAAAGTGAAGGGGATTTAAAATTCAGAAGTTTGCTCAACCAAAAAGTGAATCCAGTGATGCGCCAGAAAACAACGTAATTAGCGGTACTGACTTAATAGGGCACAAAATTAGTAAGAATGAACATATTACTAAAGCGTTCCACTGAATGATGATTTCCATCAAGTTTTCAGTTAAGTTTTATGAAAATCTCTGTCCTGAAGCTCCTGTTTAATTCCTTTTGCAACAACTACTCGCAATAACACAAAACTGATTAGACCGCGTGTCCGTCCGGAGGCAGCACTCGCCGTATTTTTCCATTAATTGGCACAATGGCATAATTCAAGCTATCTATCTCACTTCTTGCATCATTGTGGACTGACAGCATTGCGACTGTCAACATCTCCCTTTTCCTTGCATTTGCATAAGGAAAGTTTTCGCATTCGTTCGGCGACCAGACTCGATCTGAGTCAATTGGGATGATCTGTTGTGCGGTCTCTTTAGATCGGTAGAATCTTCCAGATGATCAACAATGAACACAGTGAAAGCTTTGCTAAGAAACGATTCTTGCCGTCATGCTATTCACCAAGACGAGCTACAGAATTTGAATTGTGCGGCAGAACTTGATTAGTTTGGAAATCCATGCGTTACTTAAAAATGTCCAGTTGCACAGAGGCTTTCCTCATTGTTGCCTATCATCATTCCCTTTTCCAGTATAGACTCTTTGCAGTGTGCCTGGCGAGCCCGCTCTCTCGCGATTACCGCTGTGAAAAAAGCTGAACTTTGATAGCGTTAAACAGTAAATCCACTAATTAGAATTCTCCTTTTGCAGTAGAGGATGAAAAGTCTGTCTACTGGGCTATTAGCATCGACACCGAAACGGACAGTGCATGGATGTACAAACGTGTGTTTTTTTTTAAACTAACAATTCCCAGATTCCACTGCTCTTTTTAGCGTTGATAGCACTCATACGCTTTGCACGCTGCATTTCTGTCCACTTCACGGCCTCTTGCAGTTCCATCAACTTCTCCTTGTACTGATTGCGTTCCATCAAAACACGAGCCATTTCCACGCGCGTGAAACGTTTTCTCTGTGCCATCGGCACATCTTCCTGAAGGTGTAAACAGCTTAATGCGCTGGAACTTCAAGCTGACAATGTCTAAGTTATATCAATTACATAGGTCCTCCAGACTGACTGTATCGGCGAACTTGCTATTTGATAACAAAACATGTAGGCATCGTTTCTTTCGGATCAAGTTTTCTGGTGCAAAAAGCACGCTTGTGCATATTTCTAGCATGGGATTATGCGGGTGTTCAATGCACTCACCTGGTCATCTTCGCCTCTCAATTCCAGCTTGTCTTTTAGGTCGCGAACTTCGGTCTCCAGCTCCTTTATCCGTTCACCCATTTTCGTTCTCACCATTTCCAAACTTCGAATTTCTTCACGCAATATATCCTGCTCACTAAATTCTATCAATCAGTTACGTGCTTTTCTGGGCCAAATACATCAATTTCATATTAACGCTGCTTGAAAACGACCGTATGGGCGAAAATGTGGCATGAAGTGGCAATCCCACTCCTATAACGCAATATATCGATCCTAGTAGTTACGAAGACAATAATAGTAGTAGAAATCATCGAATACACAGTGTTTCATTTGACATTCTTTTGAAAGCAATGTCAAAACGGAAGCTTGGCAAGCTGCAAAAATTCTGTACAATTCGAAAAGTTTAAAACGGATGCTCGAAGACCTTGTGTGAGCTAAAGAATTCAAATTCTGCCATCACCTGTATTTTAGCGAATATCTGTGCCGCGCGCCTGAACACGCCAAAGTTATTTGTAATGAACAGCAATTTTTCCTCTAACCACGCAAACTAAGGAGACAAATTTTGCAAGCACATTCAATGCCCATGCGCTATCTAAAGATTTTAAATTCCGCTTTAAAGCATGCCTAGGTCTCGCGTAAGTGAAAATGAAAATTTAGTTTGGAACATTATTGAGACCCAATTAACCTGACAACCAGACTAAGCAGGAAGCAGTTTTTTTGTGGAGATAGGCCAATAGAGTATGTGCCCTGTGTACAGATGCACCAAATGTTCATACTGCAACATTACCTTTATCTTTCTTTTCAGGCAATC